GGGGGAAATGTAAACTCTTCCCTCTCATCTGAAGGAAGCCCAGGGCTTTGGGCAAGACCTTCTCCTCCTTTTGTGCAAAAACACTGGTATTTAGGAGCCTCTTGCATATCTGGGAGATGACAACTGTGTTGATGCAGAAGCAAGACAAACCCCGCCTTGAGTTTAAGGTGGAAAAACGCCCCCTGGGCTCTCGTTTTGCAGCCTCTTCCCCAGCCAAGGCTCTGGCTTCACTGAGATCCCAAATATCTGCCCACAAAGCTCCTTTGTCCCTGTGCTCCCACAACAAAAGGTCATTGATTAATCATTAAAAGCGAGTGGAAAGCACCAGAAAGACTCCCGTTGTTTGGAAAGGAGCTCAGGGGCTCCGCGGGTGAATCCAAGGCCCCATTTGGCCACCCAGAGCTGGCTTTCTGCTCCGGTGCTGAATGAGCATGGATAAACCGGGAGGCCGGGAGCAATGCACCGCCATCACCCAGAGGCAAGAGCATGATGCCATCTGCTGGCATCCACGGCCAGGCACTGGCATTCTGGCCCCCTTCACAATCTTCGGCTGCCTCCGGGCGCTCCCAGGGCCACAGGAGCTTCCTCCCACTCCAGCAACTTTGCATTGCATGAGCCCACGGGGAGGAAAAGCACCCACAATATTTTCTCCTGCTTTCTTTTTCTTTTTCCCCCGCCTTGAGGCTTTGCAGGGAAAGGTCACCCAAACCACTTGTTCCACTGCCTTACCACCGGAGGACTCAGATTTGAACGGTTTGGGATTAAAGGATGTTAAAAGAAAACGATTTTCCCCGCTCCCTGAGCATGAAGCTGCACCAATGTGTTTGCAAGTCCCCACTGTGCTGCCCCAGGCTCAGTTCCCTATGGAAACTCCTGCTCTCCAGCTCCGGTGCGGAGCATCTCCGGTGGGAAGGGACGAATGGGATCAAGATGGATGGCAGGGAGGAAGATGGAGGTAGCAGGAGGAAAGTGAGGAGCAGTCCTGCTGCCTGTGCAGCCCAAGTGCTTCTGCCAGAATTCGCCGGAATGGGGGAATTAGCATAAATTCTATTAGTGATTTCACAAAGGAGACATTCCAGGGCTTCTCCTGCCTTCAGCGTTGACCTACAGGACAAAATTTGGGTTGAAAAACGTATCTCCCTGGGTCATTGCTGCCTCTGCATGGCAGGGGGTGGTCTCCCAACACCAGAGGTGGCCACCACTATGTCAGCAAGGGGACAACCCAAAACGCTCCAAAAATGGTGTAAATATGGATAATTTTGGCTGTTTCTACCAGAAAGCTTCAAAACTTCTTGCTCCTTGGAGGCTTTTTACTATTGATGGTGAATTAATTGTTATTAATTATCTATGGGCAGGCAGCACAATCGACGTGGAGCTGCTCTGGCCAGCGAGCACCCGCTCCCGCTTAGCGATTTTGAGCGTTTAATTTCACTCTCTAATTGCTAATCTCCATCCCCCAATTACTCGCTGTTTTGCCTCTGATTTCGGAGATTAAACTGCATTGTAGATGCTATTCGGCTCCCCATAACAGCCATGTCCACGGCTGTGAAACAGCAAATGGCCATGAGAGGAAGAGCCGCAACCCACCTGCTTTTTTTTTTTTTTTTTTTTTTCGGTAGGTGGGCAGCTGCCCAAAACTGAAATTTCAAGGAAAAATTGCTGGCAGTGGCATTTTTCTGAAATGGAAGCACTTAATAAAAGGCCTCAGCTGTGTGTGAATAGGTTCCTGGAAGGTTTTGTGTTTTGTGAATGGGAATGGATAAAAAATGGAGCTTTTCCTCCTGTTCCAGGAAGTCAGATCCATGAATTTCTCTCCTCCTTGGGGGCTGATATTTGCACATCATCGTTGCAGCATTTAGTGTCTGTTAATGGCTGGATCGAGAGGCCTCAAGACCCACAGCCAGTGCATTTGGTCAGAAGTGAAGGCAATTTGGGAAAAATGATGGTTTTTAATATCTGAGAAGCACTTGGGGAGCTTTGGAGGGCTGGATGGAGCCCATCACCTCCCACATGTTGTATGGGTGTTACTGACTGCAGGGCCTGTGTTGGGGCTTAGGGACAAGCCCCAAAGGAGCCAATAAAGACGGGGGGAGGTGCACACGATTTGGGGGTAATGTGGGGCCTTTCAGCCCCGCCTGCTCCGTTGCTAAGCAACGCAGACCGAAACCCGAAGTAAAGATGGCGCCTGGCGGCTTCATCGCGCGGCCATTGGGGCGCTGTCCGCCCTCGCACGAGGGAAGGGAGCGGAGAAGACCACGCCCTCAGCAGACATGGCGGCGGCTCGGCTTCAGGCTGGCGGCGCGCAGAGCCAATAGAAAGCCGAGAGGGTGGGGCAGCGGCCT